GTTGTCATTGTTGTTTGGCAGGCCCAGGCTGGATTTGAATCCACCAGCTTGGTGCATGTGGCTGGTGCCCTAGCCGCTGAGCTATAGGCGCTGAGCCTCAAGTGATTCTCTTACAGCCTCCTGGGTAGCTGTTCTTGTCTCTTTTGTGATCACCATAATTTAAATGTGTCACAGAAGTTTAACTATAGGTTGAGTGTGCAATGAGATTAAAAATAAAAAGGTTGGAAAACACTGGTATATGGGGAAAGGCTGGGTGCAGTGGCTGATGTCTGTAATCTCAGTACTCTGGGAGGCTGAGGAGGGAGGATTGGTTAAGCCAAGAGTTCAAGGCCTGCCTGACAAAGAGCAAGACCCTGTCTCTGGTAAGAAAAGGTAGAAAAGTTAGCCAGATGAAGCAGAACTAGCCTATAGTTCCAATTACTTGGGAGGCTGAGGCAGGAGGATTGCTTGAGCCCAGGAGTTTGATGCCAGAGTGAACTATGATAATGCCATTGCACTCTAGCCTGGGTGACAGAGTGAGACTAGAGTCAATTATAATTTAAATAAATAAATAAATAAAGTATATAGGGTGTTATACATAGGTTACTTGCGAATACCATACCATTACTTCCTAGGGACTGGAGAACCATGGATGTTGGTATCCTAGGGGTCCTGGAACCAACCCTATACCAATACCAAGGGACTGCTGTGCTTGCCTCTGGCATCTGAAGCCATCTCCAAAGAATGTCAGAATTGATTTGAGCTGGAAGACCACACCTAGTATCTGCTGCAGAATCACTTGGTGTTTAGACAATTGCCCCCCAAGTTTTGGTGACCAGAGGCAAAGTAGTCTGTGTTGGGCGTTGAATGTTTAGAGTGTCAGAGTAGGAAAAACATTTTGTATTTTTCCCCATCTCACATATCGACCTATTCTAGAATCAGCCACATCTCCAAGGTGCCCTGGTTCCCTTCGCTCAAAAATAGGATTAAAGACCAAGGTCTGGGTGGGCTCCTTGTTACTGGGGTGTTTTTTGCAAATTTTAATAAATATTTTTATAAACGAACATCATTCTTCAAAATGTATTAAAAAGACATTTTCTACAATGAACTGCAAAGGTCATTGAAACCAGACTCTGCACACATATTGAGATTCATAAAACCTCTGTATTTTCTCCCCTTCCACCACTCCCACCTGTGCAGGTAAACGTCTAACCACATGTTATCCTTGTCATTCCTTCTGATTAATGTTTTCTTCTGGCTTGGCGCCTGTGGCTCAAGTGGCTAAGGCGCCAGCCACATACACCTAAGGTGGCGGGTTCGAATCCCCAGCCCAGGCCCGCCAAACAACAACGATGGCTGCAACCAAAAAAATGGCCGGGCGTTATGGCGGGCGCCTGTGATCCCAGCTACTTGGGAGGCTGAGGCAAGAGACTCGCTTGAGCCCAGGAGTTGGAGGTTGCTGTGAGCTGTGATGCCATGGCACTCTACCCAGGGGGACAGCTTGAGGCTCTGTCTCAAAAAAAAAAAGAGTAATAATGTTTTCTTCTACTGAACAAGTATGTGTCCAGCAGCTGGGGAGAGCGCAGCCCTGTCCTGGGCACTGAGAGATGGCTGTGAGCAGGGGAGACAAAACCTTATCCCCAGGGCCAGTGTCAGACCATGAGCCAGGATTGACCATTCAATCATGGATTGAAGGGTGTTGTCTGGAGGAAGAGAATGGATGAGACAAGAAGTGGGGGTGCCTTTTCTGGGGAGGCCAGTGGAGGCCACCCTGAGGGGGTGATGGGAAGTGTGGATGGGGGCACAGGGTGGGGGAGGAGTGTTGGCCTGGCTGGGCAGCCAAAGCCTGTATGGCCAGAGTGCAGTGCTTCCAAAAGGGGTTCCCCAGGGAAGGACCTCTGTTTCAATGGGCATTTTGTGAAGAGAGGAGAGATAGCAGTGGCCATGTGAGATCGTGCCCCAGGCATTTCAGATCTGTTTTTTCAAGGACAGTGTTAAGTTTGGAATCAGTGTTGAAGTTCTATCCTTCAGGCACCTGGGCTCACAGGTCTTGAGGAGGAAGGTACCTGCAAACCTGGAGAGCTCCACGGGTCTGTCCTCCTGGGTCCCAGGGACTCATTTGTCCCTGATACTGCCACTCCTGCCCCAGGCAAACCACACCTCCTTCCTTCCTTTCCACAAACTGGGGAGAAAGAGCTCATTCTCTGGGAGAGCCCTTTGGGCCCAACCACAAGCTCTGCATTCAGTGAGCCTGGCTCTCCTGGGACAAATACGTGGTCCGGTTCAGCCCCCTGCCTCTGCCAGGCGCACAGCCTGCCACCTGCACAGGTCTCTGGGCTGCACGCCCTGAGACCCTGCACTGCTCTGACCACAGCGCCTCTGGCCACTCCCTCCAGACAATGTCCACAGATGGGGGGACTGTCAGCCCCTCTCTGGGCCCCTAGCCCACCTCCTTCCTGAGTTCCCTGTCCTCCTGGGGAAGCTCTGAGGTCACCCAGGAGCTGCTCCCAGGGACCCCTTCACCTCTAGTCCCCCATCCCTGATCTCATTGTGTCCCTTGGCCACTGGGACTCCACCCAATAGGCCACATGGGAGTGGTCTACGGAGGACACCACACATGGGTCACCTGGCTGTGCTGGGATGAGGACACTGATGATAAATGGGCCCCAGAAGAGGCAGCATGAGGCCTGGTGCTCAGCAGGGCTTTGAAAGGGCTGGGTCTGCCCAGGAGGCATCAGCACCCTTGGGCCCTCTCAGGTCTTCTCAGGCCAGGGCTTCCCTGACTTGTTGGCCAAAGAATTAGAACCTGGGACACACCTCCTGTCTTGCTGAGGGGTGAGGTCACAGGGTCTCCACAATTCCCCCCATTCCTAGAGTGGAGCTGTAGGCTCCCTGACATGGCAAGGAGTCTCCTCTGACCCTTATGGTCACATTGACTCTCTGAACCTCATACTCTTTGCCTATACACGGGAGCTATGACAAAGACTCCATCCCAGGGCTACTAGAGGGTCAATGTGACAGTTGGTGTACAATGCTTGCTCAGGAAGCCCAACCCTCAACAGTGCCCAAGGTCAGCACTGGTGCAACCTCAATGTTATCAAAACTGCAGCACCCATCCAGGCACAGTGGCTCGTGTCTGTAATCTCAGAGCTTTGTGTGGCTGAGGAGGGAGGCTCACTTGAAGACAGGAGCTTCAGACCAAACTAGACAATATAGTGAGACCCCAGTCTCTACAAAAAATGAAAAGATTACCCAGATATAGTGACACCTGTAGTCCCAGCTACTGAGGAGGCTGAGGTAGGAGATCGCCTGAGCCCAGGAATTTGAGGCTGCAGTGAGCTACGATGGTGTCACTGCATTCTTGCCAGGGTGACACAGTGAAACCCTGTCTCTAAAAGAACAAAAAACAGGGCGGTGCCTGTGGCTCAGTGAGTAGGGCGCTGGCCCCATATACTGAGGGTGGCGGGTTCAAACCTGGCCCTGGCCAAACTGCAGCAAAAAAATAGCCAGGCATCATGGTGGGTGCCTGTAGTTCCAGCTACTCAGGAGGCTGAGGCAAGAGAATCACCTAAGCCCAAGAGCTGGAGGTTGCTGTGAGCTGTGTCATAGCACTCTACTGAGGGCGACATAGTGAGATTCTGTCATAAACAAATAAAATAAAATAAAATGGAAAAATTGGCCAGGTGTTGTGGTGGGTGCCTATAGTCCCAGCTACTGGGGAGGCTGAGGCAAGAGGATTGCTTGAGCCCAAAAGTTTGAGGTTGGCTCAGTACACATAGCTCAGTGGGTAAGGTGCTGAGCAGGTTTGAACCTGGTTCAGGCCTGCCAAACAACAATAACTACAACAACAAAATAGCTGGGCATTGTGGTGCTCACCTGTGGTCCCAACTACTCGGGAAGCTGAGGCAAGAGAATTGCTTTAAGCTCAAGAGTTGGAGGTTGCTGTGAACTGTGACGCACAGCGCTCTATCCTGGATGACAGAGTGAGAGTCTTGTCTAAAAAAAAAATAGAAATTGGGTGGCACCTGTGGCTGAAAGGAGTAGGGCGCCAGCCCCGTATGCAGGAGGTAGTGGGTTCAAACCCAGCCCTGTCCAAAAACTGCAGAAACATTGTTAGCTAGGTAGAAAGGTTTTTCTGGAATCATAAATGTTTTGAAACTAGAGAGCTGATGGTGTTTGCACCAAATGGCACTGACTGAGCTGTTCAGTGTGAAATGTATGTTATGTGAATTTCATCAAACAAAATAAATAAAAATAAAATAATATAAAAAGAAATATGAGTTGGCTCCTCCCACACTGGGAAGTGGGTACCTGCCAAAAGGAGGGACAGAAGTAGCCCCCAGGAAAGGGCTCCGACCGGGTTGAGGTGGGAGGGCCCCCCATGTCTGCCTGCACTTCAAGTGGGGCAGGTCTGTCCTGCTCGTGCAAATAAACACGCCCACAGGGTGACAGTTCTTTGGTTGTCTGTTTTTTATTATTATAAAAAATATGTTACAAAACAGTATCATTCATCATATAATTCTTGCTCATGTTCATTTTTTTAAAAATTTAAAGTAATAAAAAAAGTCATTTTATAAAATAATACAAAAGGGCCTGATCTGCTGGGGCAGGGATGGGGGAGTCTGTGGGGGGAGGATTCAGTGCTTCGCTCCTGGCTCCCCACCACCACTGGAGGCTCAGGGGAGCAGGTGGGGCTGAGAAAGACCCGCAGGCCACACCTAGGTTGACAGCAGGTCCCCACCTCAGGCCTCCTGAAGGCAGGGCAAGAGGAACAGGGAAGGCTGGGGTGTGGTTGGGCTGGTCGGCTGGGGAGACAACCGGGCCTACTGGTGGGGCGGAGGTGGGGGAGGTGTGGCTCCTCCTCTAGGAGGCCCCTTAGGTCCCGCTGCTCAGCATCCCTAGCAGCTTGCTGGGCTCCAGGCCCTGCTGCTGGGCGACTGTCTGCACATCAAAGCCCATATGCATGAGGAACTGGGCCACATTCATCTCCTGCCCGGTGAATTGGTCCCGGATGGTGGGGCACGAGGGGTTGCAGTGGGGCCATGGGCAGCTGTCCACCAGGTGGACGGGGCAGCCCTTCAGGGGGGTTCTGCTGGCCTTGTGGCTGTCTTGGAGGCTCCTGTCCCAGCAATGAAGCGCACGGGGAAGCGAGGTACCCTTCACCTGGACATCTGTCCAGTGGCTGTGGATGGAAACCCAGCTGGGGTTACTGGTGTGGAAAGGCTACCACAGGGAGGCAGTCTCAGTTCTTGTCCCATAGCTATTGGCACCATAGGCAGCCTGGAAAGTCCTTGAGGAAAATCCTTTACTTATAGCCAGAGGAGGCTGGCAGGAGGCAAGCTGGGGTTGGTGGTGGAGATGGGGACTGTGGGAGCTAACACTGCCAACACAAGCTGCCCCAGGGCCTGAGGACACTGACCTCCGGATGATGATCTCATGGGAGAGGCAGGCCGGGGCAAAGCTGGCCCTGGTGAGGGGGGAGACAGTGGCCTGTGAGCCCCATGTTCCCCTTAGCCCCTTCCTCACTCCTTGGGAGCTGCCCCCAGCCTGACCTCCACCCCTTCCTGTTGCCACCAGCCCCACTGCTGGCCCAGGCCTTGGCCCACAGGATGGCAGGGAGCATGCTCCTGCTCAGGTTGGTCTTGAACTTCTGGCCTTGGGCAATCCTCCTGCCTTAGCCTCCCTGAAGGCCTTTTTTTTTTTTTTTTTGCAGTTTTGCAGTTTTTTGGCCAGGACTAGGCTTGAACCTGCCACCCCTGGTATATGGGGCTAGCGCCCCACTCTTTGAGCCACAGGTACCACCCAAGGCCTCTACTTTTAAGTCAAGTGGTTGACTACAGATTTGGAGGACTGAGTGAACCACCAGGAGTGGTGGGCCCCAGACCGGCACACTCACGGCACGTCTCTGAGTGTATCACGCAGCTCACGGCCCACATTTTGGATGTACAGCCACTGGCCCTCCTGCACTGGTTGCCCTGTGAGGTGCACGTTGTCCACAGTCAGCTGGGCCTCGTCAAACAGCCACTGCACCACAAACACAGGACCTGGGCAGGGGAGGGGCATGGCTTAGCCCAGCCTTCCTGCCTCTGACCTCTCCACACTGGTCCTGGTCAGCCCCATGGCAGTCTCTCCCCATAATGTCACCACCAGCACCACAAGAGCGTGTCTCCTTCTTTAATACCATCCTTCTGTAAGGAGAGACAAAGCTAATCCCACAACCTCAGCCTGGCCCTGGGGGCTCCACCTGGACCGAAGTTTAGCAATATGTCCCCTCGCATGTGACCTTTCAACTCCCAAGTGTAGAACCAGGGAGGGACTGACCTAAGGCCCTACAGCAGAAATGGGCTGCCCACGGATTCACCTGCAAAGCACACCACTAACCACCTGCATAGACACCAACCATCTGGTTCTCCTGGGACCATGGGTTTCAATGCCAAAAGTAGGAAAGTCCAGACAAGTGGCAGGGACTAATCACTCTGCAGATGTGGCTCCCCAGGCCAGGGCAGCATCCCCAGGCCCAGCTTCTGAGGGGCTGGGCTCATATTGTATGTGCAGGAGAGGGCCCAAGAGAGTGTGGATGCCGCACAGCCCCCACTCACAGCGCAGAGTCGGGTAGACTTTGTAGCCAAAGAAGCAGTTCCACTCCTCACCCTCCCGGAACTGGCGCCGGCAGCGCTCCGGGACCAAACCGTTCCAGTACCTGGGGCCATAGTGCACATGAGGCTTGGTGGCCTTGCCTCTGCACCACGAACTTTCCCGGCCCTTTGAACAGGGAGGCTGGCTTGGGCGGGCTCTTCAGGGTACCTGATGCCCCGGCGGATGGCCTCCGTGGGTGCACAAGTGACGGTGTCCAGGCAGTCTGTGCCGCGGTACTGCTTGTTGTCCAGAAACCAGCCTGAGTCCGCCAGGCCCCGTACCTGGATGGCTGGGTAGCCCAGCTCCGCCAGCTGCTCAGCCACACGGTCCACATTTAGTAGCACCCCTGTGCCCCCAGCACTGCAGGGGAAGCCGCATGTGAGGCCCAATGGCTGGGTGAGGTGCTTAGCCCCAGTCCACACTGGGGGAGATGGTATCCCATTTACTCAGAACTGCAGACATGTTTCCTCCTTATGGACAAGACCTGGGCACTTCGGGAGGCAGAGAAAGGCTGGCAGAACTCTGGACAAGGGCCCACAGGTGAGGTTGGCAGGTCATGGAACCAGACCCCTCTGCCAGCCACCCTCGGCCCTCTCTCTCCAGGCCCAAACCTGGAGCCACCCCACATATACACTGAACCTTCCCTCCTTCCTCACTATCAATTTGCTTCCCTTTCCTTATCTCAAAATGAAGATAATCTATTTGACTTCGAAGCCCCTTGGTTCCTCTGCGTACTTGGTGGAATGCTGTTACCAGAAGGGGTGATCACCCACTACAGGATGACTGTCAGCGGCTGACCCCTGACTGCCTATTGGGATTGCTGCAGCCAAGTCTTCCCCTGTGCCAACAGCCATTCATCTGGAAGCCTTCTCTGGCCAGTTCCCAGGTACAGAAGCCAGACCTCAGAGCTCCCTACCCATGCTGGTTCTCCTAGCTCCAGCCTCTGTCCTCCTGGCACTTGCCAAGGTCTAGCAAGGCTAGAGGCACCAGGGCTCCACAAGGCCAGAAGACTGGACACTGGGGTCTACCCAAGGCTCATTCCCCTCCCTCCTCACACATCTTCCTCAGCTTTGTCCAGGGTCTGCCCCATCCCTCCAGCATCCCCATACTCCATCAACATGCCCCCACTCCCATCCCCTCCCCACCCTGCCCTGCCTACCTGCTCCCGGCCAGCAGCAGCACCTTGGCCCCGCTCAGCCCTCTGCCCAGGAGCTCCCGCACCACCTCCTGGATGATGAGGGCACCCATGAAGGCATACTCATCTGTGTAGGGGAGGAGGTGGCTTCAGTTGGGGGCCTAGGCAGGAAAGAAAGGCCTCCTGCCCCAGGTTGGCTGGAAGAGGGGTCTGACTCTAGCTGGGGGCTGAAGAGGGAGTCTTCCAGGGATGAGCCAGAGCTGGAGTGGACTGAGTGGAGATGGCTCATGCATACAAGGCCAGGCTGGGGGCCCCTCCCCAGGGAACACAGAGGAATAAGAACCACCACAGAGGTCTAGTCATGGACAAGCAGATAGTGTGTGCCTGGGGTAGGCACCATGGGACACAATGTCAAGATGTGAGAAAGTCACAAGGCTGGAAGTCTGCTTCTCCCCAGAAGCCCAGGTCCCTGGCCTGTCATGCCCAAGGAAGGCGGGGAACTCACTCTTCTCAGACTTAGATGAAGCCCCACTCCAAACGTCACTGGAGCAGTAGGGGATGAAACTGCAACACAGACCTGTGTGAGGCTGCCGTGGACTTCAGCTGCCTAGGGGCCTCCAGGAAGGAACCCTCCAGGTGGGAACCCCATAGGATGGGACCTAAAGGAAGGGATTTCCCCCCAAGGACCATCCCCAGGACAGGACCTCACCCAGGAAGGACTCCCCTCCACTAAGGACCCCCCCTTGGTCAGGAAGGCCCCGCTCCAAGAAGACCCTCATGTCTCCTCTTACACCATGTTCGCATTCCACCAGTGGGGGTTCTCCTCTGGCTGCGAGGACAGGATGCCGGTGCCTGCGGACAGAGGTGGTGAGTCTTTGTGGTGGGAAGAGCCATGTGGGGATGGAGACTATAGGAAGGAGTGGGGAAAGTGGGGGCTCCCATTGGGCCCCAGCAAGGGAGGCAGAGTGCTGCTAACCTGAACCCAGGTTGGGGAATGCGGGATGAACGGTTGGCTACCCCAGGAAGCCACCATGGCCATTGTGTCCGGCCAGGTTCTGGCACTGGATGCGACCCTCGATACCTCCACCCTCCACCAGCTGCCGGGAAGGGGTAGGATCGCGACTGGAGCAGCCCTGGTAAGCACCTACAAGTTGTCTGTGGAACGGAACCCAGAAGGTGAGAGCGACAACTCTCTGGTCTTAGGAAACTCAAAGGCTCGCTGGGGTGCACGCTGCAGGGAGAGAAGGGGCTTCCTCCGGACTCTGGGACTGCAAGCCTGCTGACCTGTGCGAGTGCGTGGCCAATCTTTGGAGCTCATTAGGCGCCGCATGGTGTCGTATCTGGAGTCGCAGTTCTCCCGGTTGAAGCAGTACCAACCACCTGTGGGCACAGCCGCCACGTTCAGGGCCCGGGGCGCCAAAGGACCCCCGCCCGGTCCACCGCCACGCCCCTGGGACGCACCTTCTAGAAAGAGCAGCCACCGCCGACTGCCCTTGGACTCCTTCAGGTAGTAGCTGCAGGGAAGGACGCGCGAAGCGGGCGGTCAGATGGAATTGCAGACACCTCCGCCCCGCGCGCCCCCTCGCGCGGTTGAAGAAAGGGTCGCTCCACCTGTCGCCACGCGCGCGCACGAGGCAGCCGCACGGGGGCGCCAGCGGCCAGGCCCACAAGGGGAGCACCGCCGGGCGAGCGGTTTCGGCCCTCCCCGGGAGGTGGCGCTCGCGGACAGGGAAGGGCCGCAAGGGGCTGTGTGGTCCGTGGAAAATCCCCACCGCCAGCTTGGAGCGGGCCCCGCTACAACCTCGGCGCCAAAGCGGACTGAGGAGGTTCTCCCTGGGCACGCAGTGGCACTCAAAGGGTAGAAAGCGCCCACACTGGAGCGGTGTGCGTGGGCGGGAGAGATGGGACGCGCCAGGCGGGCGTGGAGGGGCGCGGGCGCCACGGAGGCGGTGTCGTAGCCTTGCTACCAAGTCCTGACCTAGCGTCCCACTTCTCGGGCTGTCGTCGATCCACTGAGCGCTTGGCATCCCCATCCCTCCCCTACCCTCACAGCCTCACATCTGTCCTTTATCTACTTTGGGGCCGGCGACGGGGTGAAGTCTGCACCCCAGGTCCATGTTTCAAACTGCTCTCCTCCTTTCCGCCTGGCGTTGGGATCCCTGGCAGTCCAGAGTTGAACTAAAGTGGGGGTGGGGGGATAGCAGGACTCTCCCCGCCCCCCTGTGTCACCTCTTCCTACTGGAACCAGGGGCACTCTATTCGGACTGCCATCTCCCCGCCCAGGGACCGAAGGACGCGAGCTGAGGGGTCAGTGCCCGATCTGGCCGGGCACCAGGCTTTGGAGTACTACCCTGGTCCCCGCAGGGAGAGTCATCAGCCGGCCCTCTCTGGGGCCAGCACCACCAGACGCCCGAGACGGGAGTCTTTTCCCCTGGGGGGAGAACTGCCAGGCCAGTAGGGAGGATCCAGCGCAGAGACTCAGCGCGTCCGGGCGGGGGGAGAAAGGCGGAGGTGCAGGCACTGAGGCGGCCTCCACAGCCCAAAGGGGTCCACAGGTAGGGGTGCGCCGGGGCCCACGGGTCGGGGTCCTGGCCCGCGCAGGCCTTACCCGGCTGGGCTGCCGTCATTGCAGGTCACCGACGTGTTGAGCAGGAGGTGCAAGCGCAGGTCCTCGTTGAGCTGCTGCGCAGAGCACGGGTACAGAGACTGCGCTAGGCTTTTAACCTGCGCCATGAAGCTGTCCATGTTGCCCTCCACGGCTGTGAAGTCCAGCGGGAAGCTCTCCACCGGCTGTCCGGCCGCCGGCGCCGCCTCGGCCCGCTGCGGGGGTTGTGGAGGTGGCTGCTGACCGCGGCGCCGCCAGGTCTTCTTGCCCTCGCTGCCCCCGACCCAGTGCAGCAGGCCCAGCAGCAGCAACACGCGCACCCTTCGGCCCATGGCCATGCCGCTAGGGTCTACGGCCACCTGCGGAGAGCGAGTGGCCTTGAGGCAGTGGCGGTGGGGGCGCTGGGCCGGGGGCGCCAGGCGGCGGGCTACTGGCCGCTCCTGCTCGCTCGGCCCGGCTCCCGCCCGCCGGGCCTGGCCGAGGAAGCGCGGGGGTCAGGCGTCGAGGCTCTCAGGGCCAGGTGCCGTCGGCCTCCGCAGCTGGGGCTCCGCACCCGGCCGGCCGAGGGCAGCGCAGGGTCTGGGTGCTCTGGCTCCGGCCCGCGCCAATGAGCGGCGTGGGCCGAGCCTGGGCGTAGTTTGCGGGGGCCGCGGCGGCCTGGGTGCTCGCGCGTTAGATGTGCCGCCGCCGCCGCCGCCGTCGCCCGGGCTTGGCGGAGGGGGGAGGGGGCCGCGCTCGCTCTTTTCTTGGCGGAGGCATCGCCTTTTCTTCCCAAACCGCAAGGCTGACGGAGGGGCCTGGATTACCCCGCCGCGGCCGCCGGAGGCGCTCCCGGCCCAGCTCCGTGGGGGGCACCGCGGCCGAGCGGCCCCGGCGGCTCCATTCACCGTGGCCAGCCCGGCGCCGCCGCCCCCGCCCCCCGGGCAGCTGGATGGGGAGGTGAGGGGGGCACGACGGGGAGGAGCTACGCTTTTCCGCGCCGGGGGGCTCTGCCTGTGGCTCAGCGGGCCGCGCCCGACGGGCTGGGGACGCAGGGCGGACGCGCTCACCTGGGTCCGACAGGGTCTCCCTCACCCTCCACTGACCAGGTCCAGAGCAGCCCGTGGGCAACTCAGACTCCGGCCGGGCATTCCCTGCCCCATCCCGGACGGCCCGGCGCCCCGCGCTCACCGCGGCCAGCGCTGTCGGCCCCGTGGCCGGCCCGGGCTTCTCAGCTTAGCTCGCCCTGCGCCGCCCCGCTGGTGTGCCGGGCTCGGCTGCGCTCCCCCTCTGGCGCTGGCGCGGAGCCGCCAGGGACTTTTATCCAGCAGGGCCCCCCAGGATCAAAGCGGCGGCGGACACAGGGCTTCGCGCCGAGGGGCCGGCAGCAGCGGCGCCGGGGCCTCCGGGAGGAGCGGACAGGTGGGGCGCGAGGCCCTGTCTTCCTCGGCGACCTGCAGGAGGGACCGGTTGCCTCTGCACGGCGCCGCGGGGGAGTCGCCCAGTCCTGCGACTGAGGGGGCCGATTCTGGGCGGCTCTCGAAGCCGCTGCTTTGGGGGGGGGGGCGATGACTTACTGAGGTCGGTAGACCGTGGGGTGAAGCCCTGGACATCCCTCCCTGGCTGCCGCACCCCTTGCAAAGGACCCTCAAGAACCTCTTCCTGCCCCAGAGGCCACTGCGGGAGGGGCCGAGGGTGGGAGTTGGTTGGCTCGGTAACCAAGTGCCTCTGCACCGCCGCCTCACCTGAGCACACCTCCTACCACACCCCAAGGTTTAGATCACTGAGGACAATGACATTGCTGTCAGGAAGCAAAATTGGAGGAGTGGGGACAGGTGTTTGCTCAGGAAGGCTTCTGGCTCCAGTGGTGGTGGGGAAAACAGAAGCACAAATTCACCCTAGAACACACAAAGCTCAGTCTGCCACTGTAACTGGCTTTTCCTCCTGCAGTCTGGTGGATGTCATTACCTCCATTCTGACCCTTTGGGACAAGGGTACAGACCCAGAGCAGGGCTTCCAGAGCCCCTCCTGATTAAGGGCCATGGGCGGCATGCAGCACCAATGGGGCAGGTGGTTAAACGGGGGGGTGGGGGGGGTGGGGGCGTGGGGGGGGGAGCGAGGGGCCTGCCTGCCAACCCCAGCAGCGCCCAGGTTGCACGCAGAGCTGGAGGAAGAACATCCCAGCACACCCTGCAGTCTCAGCAGACCATACTGCTAGATTCTTGCAAAACAGCTAAAGACCAAAGGGGACTCTTAAGAACTGTTGCATATGTGTTAGAGGAGCATGAGGAGCCCTGGTGTGAACCACAGGCCTATGGTCTGGCTGAGGTGCCTGGGAGGTGGGTTGTGGGACAAGCACAGGTTCACTAACAGGCACTGAAGCAGGGGCACACTCATGTCCCTGATAATGGAAAATGAGTTCAGAGAAGCTAACAGAAAATCAAGACTTGCAATTAGCTCTGCTCCTTCAGAAATCCTGGTGCGGTCAGTTTAAAGGCTATGCTTAGAACTGGCCAGAAGCAGGAATTTCATACACAGGTGCCAGCCTGAGGTGTCCTCCCATCACCCCCTGCAGGGAGGGAAGTCTGTCCTGGGCCCGTCTCAACATTAAGCAAGAGCCTGCCTCAGCAGTCCTCTGCCTCCCAGGGCTGCTCCTCTGGCCCAGGACAGAGATAGGACTTGCTGCTCCCTGCATGGCCAGGACATGCCTACTAGATTTCACCATGCTGACCTGGCTCTGAGCCATTTCCATGACCTTTCTCTGTGCCTCTGTTTCCTCTTTAAAGCGGAGCAGTGACCATACCTCTATCAGAGGGCTGCTGCAGGGTTATGGGAGCCCAGGACAGGACGGCAGTTATGACTGCCAGCAAAACAGTCAGGATAAGAAAAGAGCATGAGGCTGGGCACCTGTGGCTCAAGTGGCTAAGGCACCAGCCACATACACCTAAGGTGGCAGGTTTGAATCCAGCCCAGGCCCGTCAAACAATAATGATGACTGCAACCAAAAAATAACCTGGCATTGTGGTAGGCGCCTGTGGTCCCAGCTACTTGGGACGCTGAGGCAGAATTGCTTGAGCCCAGGAGTTGGAGGTTGCTGTGAGCTGTGATGCCACAGCACTCTACCCAGGGGGTACAGCTTGAGGCTCTGTCTCAAAAAAAAAGAAAGTGTGACTAGCTGGGCATGGTGGCTCACACCTATAATCCCAGCACTGTGGGAGGCTGAGGAGGGAGAAGTGCTTGAGCTGAGGAGTTCGAGACTCATCTGAGCGAGAGTGAGACCCCTACTCATGAAAAAAATGGAAAAACCCAGCCAGGTGCCGAGGCAAGTGCCTATAATCCCAGGGGCTTCTGGAGGCTGAGGCAGCGGAATGCTCACAAACCGGAGTCCGAGGGTGTAGTGAGCTACCAAGCCACTGCACTCTGCTCAGGGACATAGGGTAGGACTCTGTCTCAAGCAAAAAAAAAAAAAAAAAAGGAAAGAAAGAAAGGAGCATGAATATTATATTCTCTGATGTTTGTTGTAACATGATTTAGTCTGTACATTGAACCAAAATCAGTTCATATTTTGGTTTATTCAACACTAGTAGCAGAAGCAAAAAGGGGCTCAACACCTTCTGTCTCAGAGTGCTTCTGACCTTCTGTCTCAGTCTCACTTCTCTGCAGCTCCTTCCATGACCCAGTGACTGACAGGTTACAGGGTCCCTGAGGCTCCACAGCTACTCACACCCAGGTCTGCCTCTGACTCTGTCCTCATACTCCTCCCTCCCGCAGGGCCAGCTTACCCTCTGCACCAGGGGCTGCCCCACCCAGAGTTTTCAGCACCTAAAATCTGGCAGAATTTCCTGGGAGGGCGGGTTCTAGGAGCCACCAGGCACTGAGGCCTGGCTTCTAGGCCACATGTACTAGCAGCTACTTTGGCCCAGACAAGTGTGAGGAAGGGGGACCTGGGATCTATTGTTGATGGCTCAGATGCCACCTCATGCCCTGTGGTCAAAAACACAGAGAATAGGTTTGGCACCCGTAGCTCAGCATTTAGGGTGCCAGCCACATGTACCAGGGCTGGTAGGTTCGAACCCAGCTAAAGCCTGCTAAACAAACACAAAATAGCTGGGCATTGTGGTGGGCACCTGTAGTCCCAGCTAGAGGGGAGGCTGAGGCAAAAGAATCGCTTGAGCCCAAGAGTTCGAGGTTGCTGTGACTTGTGATGCCATGGCACTCTACCGAAGGTGACATAGTGAGACTCTGTCTCATTAAAAACCAAAAAAATCGGCTCGGCGCCTATAGCTCAACCGGCTAAGGCGCCAGCCACG